TGAACTATATTTGACCAGAATCAGGAAATGTTGTGTTACAATATAAGCCGCAAATGCTCAAAAGTGTTCTGTTTTTCTGATGTTAGTTAGAAAAAGAAATATGTTTCATCTGAGATACAGCTCAAAATAAGATTGAAGATAAGATTTGACTTAACAAGATGATGCATTGTCTAAAAACAAGACCCTATATCTCACTGCATTTTCACTTCTGAAGTCTTATAGCAAGTGTAAAGAGTAAATATTAGACAAATATACTTGGCAAGATTTTGAGTTTTTGTAGTGTACCTTCTGCTCATCCTCCTTTCTTCTCACCACCTTCCCTTCATTGTTCTGTCCTCTCTTGTTGTATCCAGTCATTTCTGAAGGGTTACTCATGCTTGGCCTGGCTGCTCACACTTCTCTCTCACCAGGCTGAGAGGAACAGATTCACAAACACACCCAGCTCCATCAAGACAGGCAGGCCATGCAGAAAGGCCCCATAACAGAGCGATCAAAGAAGGAGCAGGGATGTTAAAAAAAACATCCATTTCCCAACAGATCAAATGGAAATGAAAGGCTGGAAAAAGAAAATGCAAGATCAAAGACAAATATAGAGCAATTTAGTTACTCGTTTACCTTTGAGGTGCATTTGCTCAATTTACTTTGTCTCAAGATTAATTAAATAAAATATATATTTTGTAATATCAAAGAGTTAACCTGCACATGTATCTCAATTGGTTTTATTTGGTTAAGATGGATTAAATAAAAAATTCAAATGACATGTCAAACTTTTTCAGATGTCAGCTTTTCACCTCTTGAATGAAACCTTCCAGCTAAATGGATCAACTACGCTTCGACTGAATCAACTACTCCTTTCAGCACTTTTTATTCAGAGCATATCTATGACTGAGGGATTGCCTCCCCACAGCTCTCAGCATGGTGACAGTTTAGATGGCAGCTAGCAGCTAATGATGAAAAAACGAGATAACAGTGTTAACCTGAATGGGAACCAGTGGGTGGCCCTTACACTTCCACGACAACAATTTGGGTCGGAGTGGTGTTATACTGTATCTACTGCAACTACATAGTATTTTAAATTAATCCTATGCAAATGTTTGTCAGCAAGCGCACGTACATTACCTTGTGTCATGATATCTCAGTGTTTGAAGTTTAATTTAATCTTCAGAATTTCCATTTTAACTGACAATTCAACTTCTTTCAGTGATTTTAATTAGTTGCCAAATACAGTATGTTATATTAAATGTTTTATACATTTCCTTCAGAACCGTTTGAAGTTCCCAATGTCGTCACAGCGACAGAATCCAAATTGTCCATTATCCATCCTTCCATTCAAAGCAGCCACCTGAATTGCTCGTGCTGAGGATGTTGTTATATCTAATGTCTTGGGATTAAGGTCTAAAGAGCTGAGGCTCGACAGTTTTGAGTGATGTTCTGTGTGCTTGTTATTAACACCCCTTACCTCTGCTGTCCCTGAGGCACTGATCACTTGTTGTGCTTAACTGAACATGAGGCTTTACACTAATCTCATCACCGCTAAGTGATGATTCAGCAGTAACTAAAAGCTCACAGACATGCATAGCATAATGTGTGCATAGAGGCACAAAAACATCTCTATTTGTATCTCAGCTGTAATGCAGAAATAAATAAAAATGTTGTTAGATAAAGGTCAGATATAATTTCCAACAAATACCTTAACATGAAGAGAAAATAATTGGCGCCTGCGAGGAAAACAGATGTGGATTGAAAGTCTGAGTTGCTGGAGTTGGATAACTGCCATTTTTTAGTACAGACCTTAAGCTAGAAAGCTAAGCACACCCTTTTCCATTGGCAAACTATGTCAATATCTCTGTTCCTTTCATGCCATGAATTTCATGCAATATGTCTGCCTTGAACATCACTCTGTTCTTTCCTTCTCCACTTTTCACCTCTGTTTTTATTCACACTCTGCAAACTCCCAGCGAGTCCACTGACCAACATATCTGCTCTAGGATCAGCAGTCCTGTCCCAACCTGTCCTGGGCCTGATAGCTGAGCTTTGCAGGGAGGATTCGGTAAGGAGATAAAAAAGGGCAGCTGCAAGCTTTCTTAACCACCGGGATTCCGAAATGTAGATGTTTTTTGTCTACGTATAAATAACAGGCTTAGACCGACATGCAGTGTTTCTGCCCCTGTCAAACTCTCCTGGCCTTACTGGAAGAGTTTCAGAGCAAGGCTGGTTCAGGTTGTTATTTCTGTTTTGTTCATCTGCAGGGGGATTGTTTGACAGCTTTTGGCCATTGCAAAATAGTTTTTCGGGCTGAATCAAAGTTGTATGGAAGGGTTGAACAACAGTCTCCCTGTAGAGGCTTAGCAATACGTAAAAGCCAGAAGAAAGATTCTTTTTTTAATATTATTATTATTCAATCTATATGGTGCTCTAGAACATGAATGATGATGACATACAATTGCATATTTATACATGTATTTGCTCTCTGTTGTGTGGCCAAGTTGTGGTGTTTCTTTCTGTGGCAACTCTAACTAAAGGAAACAATGAATATAGTCTTAAACCCACCTAAGCACATACATCACCCTATCTGTTCTAAGTATGTTTATCATGTGTCGAGGCCACAGGTGCAATTATTTTTTAACTGAGACACTGTAGAAATATAAAGAGTGGCAGCAAGAGAAACAACAAAGACAAGAAATGAAGATGTCGAGTCAGAGAGGGAGGAACAGAAATGGCGAGATGACAGAATGGAGAGGGAGGAGAGAGAGGTTTGAGGCAAGCATTCAGATGTTTTAACACGCCGCAAATCGATTAAAGGCTAAATGCCAAACAGTAAATAGTGTTGTGTGGATCCAGAAATGCAGCCATTAAAGCGACAGCTGACTTTCTGCGTTGGCAGGTCCAGCTTGAGCTTCACTTAAGAAATGACCCCAACTGTGCTGCAATAGAAAATGTATAAGCAGAGTGATTAGAGTGCATGTGCAGGTAATATATAGTACATATATAGTACATGCATATGTATACGTTTGCATGCATTTTTCATTGTGCAAAGAAAAGACAGCCCTACCATGGAAAACGCATTAGTAGATAATCTAAATGCAGTGCAGACATGATGCATATGTTGGAGTGTACCTAAGTGATTTATAAAAGTGTGTGCACATACGAGTCTACATACTTGTTTATATGTGACATTTGTTGGCAACATGTTCTTTCAACTTGGATGCTGATAATGATTGAAGTGAATACAATTATACAGTGTGTAAGAATTCTGTGTGTGCTTGAGTGTCCGGCAGTGGCTCAGTCAGTCGGGGACTGGGAGCCGTAGGGTCGCCGGTTCAAGTCCCCGACCAGACCTAAAATATGGAGTGTGGCCCAGTTCACCTCCTGGGCCCTGCCGTGGTGCCCTTGAGCAAGGCACCAGACTACCCCCCCACCCCACTCACTCCCCGGGCGCTGTACAATAGCTGCCCACTGCTCCTACTACTAGACTCCTGGTACTAGGATGGGTTAAATGCAGAGGCCAAATGTCACTGTGTGTGACCATTAAAGAGGGTTTCATCCCTCCAATTATATCTATTCTATGAATGTGAACTATCCACTTGTTACAACAATGAAATATGAGGGAGTTGACATAAACACTATCTAAATCAGGGGTGTCAAACTCAATTTCATCGCGGGCCACATTAGAATTCTGGTTGCACTCAAAGGGCCAGTGGTAACTTTAAGACTATATAAATATACATAGATAAATATATATAATATATATAATATATATATATATAAAATAATGTATTATTTTACAATATTTCCTCTGCATTGGATTATTATCAGATAGGGTAATAACTTCATAATTAACTACGTCTGAAAGCAGAAGTCTAGGGCAAATCATTGCAAGTTATTGCAAGTCTCTTCAGTGCGCATCTCACAAAATGAGATGCATTGTGGGACATGTAGTTTATGGGCAATGTGCTCCTGTAAAGCGGCACGTAACCTTATAATAAACGTATTATATTCTTTGCAAGCTCTTGTGGGCCGGATTTGGCCCCCGGGCCTTGAGTTTGACACCCCTGATCTAAATGATCAAATCACACATACGCCATTTTTGTTGGCATGAACTGTATTGTTGCAGAGCAAAGTGTGTTGAGCCTGCATAACTAAACTGGAGGGCATATCTGTGAGGAGAGAGGGAAGAAAAGAGGAATGGAAACATGGGTGAGAATTCCAACACAGACCTTATGTCACCAAAGTGCCCTTTGCAGATTGCTCTCCAGATGTGCCCACAGCACTGAACAAACCCAAACATGATCTTGTTCACTAAACCAACATAATCTGTGCATCGATGAAAACATCTGAAAATAAACTGCAGCGCCTATAAAACTAAATGACAATGCAGTAGCGTCGCGGGCAGGGAAGCACTCTATCGTGAAATCACTCGGGATCATTTATACCAGCGCTGCTAATGAACGCTTGAACATGTTGTTTGACCCAAGAAAGTATTGTGTAACCGTAATCTTACTGCCTTTCTTCAAATCGTAAACAGACACATTCCTGTATAAATGAAGCAGGCTGTACAGCAGAGCTCTGCCAGGTTTCAGGAATGTGATCACAGCAATGTGCTGCTGCAGTAAACTGATGGTGAAATCTGAGCTCTTATTTTTTACTATGAAACACAGCTGGACTTACAGTCGATATTTGTGTATCTGTACCTTGGAGTGCAGAATACAAGAGAATAAATAGCAGGCCGAATGTTGCAGAAAACAATGAAAATGTGAAGTTCTTTTGTGATTTGACACACAGGTTGGGGGTAAAATTATCCACTGAGGACATTGTGACCTAGTTCCTTCAGTAGCTATGCACAAGTGTTATAATACCTAGATGAATAAAGCGCTCTTTGTTGTTGTCCTTGCTCTGGATTTCTTTTAGAAAGAGCGGCCTACTTTGATGTTAAATAACCATCCATTTTAATGTTCTATTTATCGTTATTGATTATATTTTGTGTGTGTGCTTCACTACAGACTACTCGGTGGCATATAGACCTGGAGCCCTGGGCTGCTGTGAGTCATTCTCTGGAGGATGAAGCCAAAAGGTTCCTCAACTACATCACAACACCACAAGTGAGTCATCATTGTTTGTATTCTCACTGGTATTTCTAGCAAGTTCCTGTTGCAGATCTGTTATTATTTGCAGTCATGGAACAAACTGCAGTCAGTTCATTTCTTACTGAAGCTGACAGCCTACATTCAGTACAAACAAAAAGGATTGGTTGTTTCATGGCGCAGTTGACTCTGCTGATTTCATGTGAAGACAACCTGAACATGTTTTCACAGGGATCAAATATAATCCTGTTTTTAGACAGGAGATGTGAATTCAGTTAATCATAACAGCTTAATTATTGGCGTACAACGGTTGTGTGTTTTTACTTTGTTCCACTGGTAATGTGTTATTTGTTTTTCTATATTTTGTACCTGTGATTTTCGCAGTACTTCATTCAAGCTGTGTTTTACCAGGGAACACAACAACTTATTCAAATCAAATCAAATCAAGTTTTATTTATAAAGCACATTTAAAAGCGAGCCAAAGTGCTGTACATGTAATAAAAACACATTACTACAATCCACCTCTTTGACATTCAGCTCAGCCAGAGAGCATTTGTCTTGCTTGACAGCACACACATAATTCATTACTATATTGATCTCCATACAGATGAAACTCACAGCCCCTCTGTTCACACTAAATCAATGAGATGTCGTGGTTTGTTTGTTGGTTTATGTCGGTATTAAATTACTTGAAATCGATTAAGATATTCAGCATCATAATTTGAAAAATATTGAGGGATTGAAAAAGCCTGAAATGCCGTGCCTTTGTCCGTTTTGTAAAGATAATGCAAAGACAGTTTCATTTCAACTGTCCAAAATACAGAAGGAATTATTTTTTAGAATACATGTGCTGTGGTTTTTATTATAATAAAATGGGTTTGGAGATAAATCAGCAACTTATTTCCCCAGTACCCCACTCCAATTGACTGAGCAAATGTTCTATATCTTTCACAAAGCAGACATTCAGCTCATAATGAATTAGCCCCGGGCTGTGTGTGTGTGTGTGTGTGTGTGTGTGTGTGTGTGTGTGTGTGTGTGTGTGTGTGTGTGTGTGTGTGTGTGTGTGTGTGTGTGTGTGTGTGTGTGTGTGTGTGTGTGTGTGTGTGTGTTTGCCTGTGTAAGTCTGTATTTGTGGGAAGCTGATGAAGGGAACTGCCCATCATACACACTGACAGCTGAGGGGGGGGGGAGTTGGGTGGGGGGAGTTGGGGGGGGGGGGGGGGTACAGCAGCATCCTCAGCTGTAATGCTGACTGACACAGTGCCTGGTGGAGCAGTTACTCAGAGAGATGGCCTGCGACACAACTGTCTAATCAATAGGAGTCAGAGTATGTTGCATAAATGCACCAGTACACATAGGAGGAAGTGGTTATATGAATGTATTTTTAACAGCATGAAATGCACTGCAGAACATTTTTCTGTTTTTCTAAGCAACATAAGTATTTACTGTTCATTTGAATACGTGCTCAATGCAAACGAGTCGTTTTTTTACAGCCCTGTATTCAGTTCAAAGTGTTCAGCAGTTCAATGCCAGGTCTGCACACGTGGGAAAATAATCAAGAGTGATTTTGCATTTCATTGCTCACCGTGCTTTGTGTGCTGGAACATATTAAGAGAGACAGGCATAATGAAGCATGTTCAAAACTATTATTTGAAAAACATTATTGCGCCGCCCACAGTACAAATCTGGTGCCTTTTGCAACAACACTGCACTTGACTCAGCTGGTCCCTGCCTGACCTGTCACTGAACTGTGAAAGGGCCACCCCACCCGCTAGGATAGGTGTTGGAGTACACTACCTAGTGATGAGTTGGATCAGGACTCTGCCGGGAATGATGTACCATGTCACTGATTCTCTCTGTCATTTGAATGGAGAGGACATCAAGATACAGCCACAGGAGGGTAGTTTTCTGTTTGGGAACATCAGAATTGCTTTCTGGGCCTTGGCTTCATCTGACAGAGACGGTGTATTTCCCCATCTGGGTTTGGAGTGATTTGCTGCCCCAAGTGAGGAGTTCAAGTATCTTGAAGTCTTATTCATGAGTCAGGAAGAAAATATATGTGAAATCGACAGGCAGATAGGTGCGACAAGAGCTGCAGGTAATCTACAATTGTTGGGAAGATGGAGCTAAGCAATGAAGGCAAAGCTTTTGTAGTGGGAGAAAGGATGAGATTGCGGATACAAGAAGCCCATATGAGCTTCCGGTTTATGGTGACCAGACTCAGCCTTAGAGAAAGAGTTGCTGCTTCTTTAAATCAAAAGGAGCCCTTTGATTTGGTAAGGACATCTGATCAGGATGCTTCCCGCCCCAATTCCTTTGAAAGTTTCGTATTTCTAAATGGTTGGAAACCCCAAGAGAGACAGAACACACTGGAGATATTATGTCATCTGGCTTGGGGGATTTGCCAAAAGATCTCCCGTTGAGGGAATAGGAGCAACTGGACTAACTCATTTAGCCTCAAGAACTCACAAAGCTTGAAGCCGTCACGTCAGGTAAAGTGGCTGTTGGTACCATTGTTTTCCTAATGAGAATTACCACCATGCTCTTTGCTCAAGGTTCCAATTACTTAAACTTTGACTTGGTTGCTGCTGACCTTTCAAAGTGATGTAGCCACTTTTTGATGATATATACCTGTGTTTGGCTTAGACTCTGCAAGAGTCGACCCCACTTTGGGAAGCAAAGACAACATTTCGTATCATGGGAAGGTTTGAACTCTAACTGGACTCACAAGCATGCACACGTAACAGTTTCAAAAGTCAATTTTAAGTTAACAATAGACATGATTTCATAAGGCTGGCACACAGTTGCCATTGTTCCTTGGCAACATAATTCATTTAGAAAGCACTCATCCTTTCTTCATTCTTTCTTGCTGTAGAACATTTAGCTCAGGCTTCATTTCATTGACCCTGTCAAACTATGTCAGCTTGAAAGATATATAATACACAGTGGGCAGTACAACATTCACTGATCCCATCTTGTTTACACTTGAATGATGTACAGTAAAACCATAGATTTATGTTTCAATTCATCATGTCTGAGCTAATATTGTTCCTTCTCTGCAAACTGAATCTCTGCAGCAGAAGGAGCTTAAAGAAACCAGACAGCAAACAGTTGAGCAGCAGCTCCTGAGCCAGAGCTTGGTCTCTTTTTGTGAAACTGTGTACACAACCAACACGCTGACATGTATGCACATGTTTACAGGGTATATGTGCACAGTTTATGCAGGTGCATGATTTATATAAACAACGGCTCTCCCATAAACACACTGATTTGAAAAAATAAAAACTCCTAACAATCTGTACATAAAAAGCACATCAAGAAGGATTACTTCAAACTGCTCTTATTATCATATGTTTTCATCGTACTGCTGAGACTTGGCAGAAGCATCTGCCCCAGCTGTATATCATGATGAATAGTGTTCATATTGTAGTTTGACACTGAGGCCCAAACACACACTAGCCCAGGGTCAAATTCAGCAGCAGCTTCCACTGATTTATAACATTTATGTTAAGATATTTTAAGAAAATATGTTCATCAAATCAGGAGAGGTCAGGGAGTGTCAACCAAGCTGCCACTCTTAACTTTGAAATGCTGGCTCCTAATCTATTGCGACTATATGCTACGTTGGACTAATGCTGTTTAAGACAAATGCACTCAGAACAAAATGTGTCATACGCTTAAGACCAACCACAAACGGTCCTTTTAATGCCTGGTTCAACTTAATTTTCAGTAAATGATGCTTGCCACACATAAGTGCTTAAATGCTCGCTGTATACATAAGGTTATGGTTGTTGAGGTTATTGCATGATGTAACATACTTTGCAGCTCCTTAAGTACAGGAATATTGTGTTAACACTGTGTAGAAAGTAAGTCAATAAAACACATTCCTATAATAGAAATACCAATGATTTCCCATTGTAGTGCATGTTCTTTCTGATGTAACATTATATGTGTAAAGATATAAGATGCTCTGCTTCTTAATATCAGATATGGCTGTTATAAGATGTGTGTTTTTTATGTGTCCAGGTGTCATGTGCATCTTTGACCGGTGATGAAGCTGCTCAGGAGGGGACCAAAGGGGCCTGGGCTGCATGTCTGGACCCCAAATTCAGCCTGAGCCACAGAATACAGAGCAAACACTGCCGGGTGTACTCTTTTGGGTGCGTACAAACAAACACTCCCTTTGCCTTCCAATGAAAACATTAATTCCCAAACGCAAATCTTTACCTTCACCATCTCATCTAAATCATAATGATGATCACAACAATTATTACACCAGATTTGAGACAAGCTGTCGTGTACTGCATCTGTAGAGCAACGGATGTGTTCACAACATTAGTTTTCTGTCAGTGGGTTATCTGTAGGTGCGACAGATATTCAGAGCATCTGGTTCTGTGGCAGGCTGTGATATCTCTACTCACAATTGCCACTGTTGCTTCACCCGTAACTATTCACTTCTTTTCTAGGGTTTTCTCTAACTACTTCATCAAAGAAGGCTATTTTCCACATAATACAGGATCTCTGTCTCTACGTTCCCTGTTCGCCTTGTCTTTTTATGTCTTCATTTTAAAGACTAATTGCCAACGGAGCATATTTTTTTATCAGAATCTGTCTTTCTCTGACAACTTTGAAATGTTCAGCTCACTTTTTTGTGCCGGGTAGCGGTTATATTTTTCTCTTTTGTGTGGTTATCTCAGTTTTCTGGGCAATTTAATTTGATGAGTAACACGGTAATAAGAGTATAGATAACCCTCTATCGGCCTGAACTATACCTCCAACATCAGCGTGGAACGTCACATCCACTCCACCTCTGCTTCCTCTGCTTGAGTGGCAAGTAATCTGGAATGGAGTCAGCCAGGCCACCGAGGTATTTGACCTTCTTAAGATTGGAGAGTCAATCACTCCCATTTGGCTTTGTGTCGAGGATCATTTCGGCTCGGTTTATTCCCTGCTGGGCCTCTGCTGGGCTGAGGTGCTGCGAAGGTCTCGAGAGGCAAGCAGGGCTCAGATACTGATGCAGGAGAGAAAGGGCGGGGGGGGGCTGCTTTTGGCTTCCTGCCTTTCTTTGGAGAAGAGCTCAGGGGTCAAGTGGAGAGATTGGAGGAAAACACATCTGATATCCTCTGGCTGATTGATGGGGAGTCACTCATGCAGGCCAGCTACATGGCAATGCACCAAAAGCAAAGGGAATACTACATGTCCTCTCAGTGATTTATGCAAAGATGTAACATTTGACCTGAATATCAGCTTGGGAAAATGTGACTCACAGCTCTGATTTCTCATGTCAATGAAAGACACATTACCATTTTTCCTTCTATCTAACTGATCCCTTAAAGCCTCTGGAAGGAATTCAAATTACTCTTAGTCGCCCCTCAACTCTGGCTTATGCAATAACAGCGAGATGACCTTAAAAATACAATTCAATGAAAAAATAAAGTTTATGCTAACAAAAGAAAAGTCCTAAGAGCCCAGAATAATAGTTCAACACGGCAAACTGCTCTCTAAAGTTCTACCTTTCCAGAATTTGGCAAGGGATGTTCTCCTCTCTGTGTCCCCTATCTGACCTAGATTCATAGTACACACAAATACACACACAAAGAGACTTCATGGTCATACTCTTGAATCTATGCCAGGTATGCTGAGTATCCTAATGTACAGCAGACTTGCATAACCCTCCACTACAGTCCACTGATGCTCATAAGTTCATAACACTGACTTTAATGAAAATGTACTATTAGAACTTTAAGTCTGTGTACACTGCTGAGCACAGTGCATTACCGAGTATGTACAATTGTGTGTGTACTCCTGCGTGCATTTGAGTGTGTGTGTGTGTGTGTGTGTGTGTGTGTGTGTGTGTGTGTGTGTGTGTGTGTGTGTGTGTGTGTGTGTGTGTGTGTGTGTGTGTGTGTGTGTGTGTGTGTGTTTACGAGTGATACGTCTAATGTGCATACAGTTTAACGAGGCGTGGACGGCTGTGTCTGGGCAGGATGAGCTGCTGCTCTGTGATTGGTCACATGGTGGGGGATGCGGGTGCGGAGTGGGGGGGGTCACAGGAAGTTTTTCCACATGAAAGACCAGTCATCCACCTTTGACCTCTGATACTCCATCTTACCTCTCTCATCCTCCATCATCCTCTTATGCTAGTGTCAATGATAATATCATACATTATTAGATGCTTACTGTAATCAAAGGTTTTTTAAGAGGATGAATCATCCACTGTTATATGAAAAAAAACACATTCCTGACAGACAAAGTAAGCCTCTGAACTTGTCAGCAGCCGTTTTACATCCTAATAAAGCTACTAGTGGCTCCATTAGATTTCTTTGTTCCTTTTTAAAAGTGTCTTCCTAGCAACATTAGAAAGAAGAAATTATGAATTAGAATATAGAATTAGAACGTAGAAATTAGTAGCAAAATATCATATTTATGCCATAAAATGTACAACCTTACGTCTTCATGTATACATAAAATCCTACCATGAAGCATTAAATACTGCAGGTTCTATAAAACTGTGAAAAGAAGAGCCTTATATAATAAATCAGATTTGTAAGTAAGCCAGCTCACTGAGCAGCGAGCCTCGCAACGTCCCGACCAATCAGAGCACACTGGGCTCACAGGGAGGGGGGGGGGGCAGGAGCTCCAACAAGCCGTTTAGGACAGAGAGTGAATACACATACTTTACAGAGATGCTGTATGAGAAACCAATGTGAGTTTGGAAAATTGCACAATATAAATCTATTTTAGTATACCTCAACAATGGAATTATGATCAGTAGAAATGGCCATGACATGGGACCTTTAAGGGCCAATTAATAATAACTGCATTCCAGGTAGGTGAAACTTTTTCACGGCACTGAAAGGGTTTCTTTTACTTAAAAAAGTTCCTCTAACTACAACTTTGCCTGCAGACTGTAGACCATGTACTTATAAAGCCGATCGGGCATTAAACATGCACATGTAAATGAGCTGTAATGTGTAATATGAGGGGCGCGGCAGTGAGAGAAAGAGAGAGAAAGAAGGAGGTGAAGAGACAGACAGTCATGGGGACAGCAATATTGTTAGAACACGATGCTATTTGAAACCAAGGGAACAATGTAAGGGGAGATTGATAAAAGGCATGGGGGTAGGAAGCCCACTCAACCTTTGGTAAACATCCTCAGCCACCTCTGAGGTCCACAACCTCCAGAGGCTGTTGACATTATAGTTCAGAGCGAGGACAGACATAATTAAGGCTCTGTTTATCAGATTAACAAATCCATCGTGTGATTCCTCACACGCACACACATCTTCATATCTGGTTGCCATGACATTCTAGTCAACAGAGTGTCACTGCTGTGGCACAGTCTCAGGAGAGAGGATATTACAGCTAGTAGAGACCGGCCCTGTCATACAGAAGTGCTCCTGATGCGCTGTGATTCCCACACTCATGAGTAATCCCTGATCCCTGTCTTCTGAAGTGTCACTGCAGCGATTCCTGGTCAAAATACCCCCTCAGAGAATAATTTAAATATTGATTTGGTGAAATAAACGTCTAGTTGCATCTCAATCTCTCCCATATAGTCATCCCTCCTCTGCCTGCTAGTGGGATGCATTCAGAGACCAAAAGTGCCTCATCTTTGAAAGCATGTACTGCTTGTGTGCGTGTACTGCGAAATGTACTCCCTGCTGCAATTACAGAATACAGCCGCAGCACAAACTAGGCCAAAGGGAATGCGGAGACAGTGACTGAGAACGGAAGAAAGGGAGAACATTGCAGAATTAGAGAGGAGAGGGGTGGGAAAAAGAGAATAGCAGCAACAGAAAGAATATAAAAGTTAGGGAGAGGCATAGAGGAGAGAGAAAGGGCATTTTTTACAAGTCTTTGATTTATTATCTCGATAGGAAGTTTCCCATTGATTATTTATTTATTGCTTTTAGGGTGGCAGGTGAATTCAGTATCGCAGTGAAGTGTGTTGTTTGATGCAGATTGTCCGTACCATTTGTGTCATTAACCATGTTTCTTCGTTTCATAAAATAAATGTCTGGGTCTTTGATTAAAATGAGTTCTTAACAAACCGTATTGCAATACATGTCAGTTTTGTAGTTTCAGCTCAATTTACATTGGAGTGAAACCTGTCAAATTAATTGAATTCCCATCAGCCTCAGCTTTAATTTGTGTATATTGTCGAATAGCAAAACAAGATCATTTCAAATGATGATGAGCTTAGACAACATTAAACTTGCAGCATCTCAGCATCACCATTGTCAGCATGTTACTATAATAGTTAGCATTAAGATCAAAGCACTGCTGTTCCACTATAGCTATACGCATTTAGTTTTGTTTAGTAAACAAACAAAGCCAAAGTTGTAAAATGTGAAATGTTTTTCTTAATGAACTATAGTCAAAAATAGGCTAACTTTGATTTAAATCTCATGACCCCTCTGGACTATGTACATATTTTTTGCTTATACCAAGAAAGTTTAAATATAATATATATATATATATTTAACCTGATTGTCCTGTGCCGTGGTGCTGCAGGCTGGGTGTGGATGACCGGACCTTGGAGCGTTCTCTCTCCAGGGCGGGATGTGAGGTCCACTGCTTCGATCCCAGTCTGAAGCAGCCTCACCTGCAGCAGGCAGACATGTGGCTTCATCGGCTCTCCATAGACTGGAGGGACCCCAACCCGGCCTTCGTCGCCCAGCGTCAGTACGCCATCACCAAGAAACTGGCCACCATTCTAAATGACTTTGGACACAGACAGGTAAGAGTGAAAGCATAAGTGGGATTGTATATGACATGGTCCCTCACTATAATATACTTGAGTGAAGGGTTTGACACCACCTGGATCTAAATATAATTGATTTTTCTTCCAGTGTCAGCTAGGGAATTCACTTATATGCCGCTAGCATGCAAACACAAGCCCTTTGCAATCCAACGTAATCCAGTTTATTATGAATCATTCCTCTGTTATCTGTGTCAGGCTCCAGGATGATAAACCCCCGTATATAATTTGGTTTTCCTCCTCTAAATATTATCATGCTGAATGTTACCTCTCCAAAGCCCCCCAGGGATTGTGTTCAACCGCATCAGATAGGGGATCTGCATACAAGATCAATCATATAGCCCACTGAGAGTATGCATACTAATAAACACAGATATATTTCCAGCGAACATACCTGATTAGGAACAGGCTGAAGGATAATTCAGGGTTAGAGAAGCCAAGCTTTTCTTACATATGTAATGAAGACACAGCTGGATAGCAGACAGATTTGTGTCTCTTCCCTTAGCAACAAGGAAACTTACCCAAAGAAAATATTTGACTAGGAGAGGTATTATTAAGATTCAAAATCCTCAGAGGTTGGATCCTAAGGTTTGGGTGACTATTTTTATAGCACTACAATTACAACAACACTTTTAATAAAACAAAAGAAACATCAAAATCTAATACAAAAATTGGGATCAATAAAGTATACATCTATCTATCTAATGGACAGACTAATACAATTTAACACATTCTTGCTCCCCAGATAATTTTGTGACCACAGGCCAAAATGCCTGCTTATAATACACTATGACTCCTCCTCCTAAAATGTTCAGTCTTTTGAAAGAACACAGTGTTTTGTACACAATACTGTTTCATAGGAGATAGTACACACCTGTTTAAAATGCAAAGCCACGCGCACCTCCTTGTAATGAGGTTTTAATGCTAGAAAATAGTTTGCCGGAGAAGCAAGTCGCAGCAGAACAGTTTCTATTCAAAAGCTTTTGCCAAGCTTTTGTGACAGAAAAAGCAGCAGTGAAGAAACAGAGTGACTCGGTAAAGGTCGAAATATGCATCTGTGCCGCATTTCTTCTCCGTTTCTTAAAAACGACACAGATGACTCATCCACTGAGCTCTGGGGATCAGCTGAGGTAGCAGACACTGTCACAGCAGTGGCAAAGTCAGTGGCAGGTAGTCGCATCTCATTTATGTAAAATAAAATGTACATTGGACCGTTGATCATGTTGGTAATTGGACACTACAACAGTATCGTATTAGAGTTTCTAGGACTTGTTCAGTTCCACTAATGAGGGCTGGGAGTTCTGTATTGTCACCAAAGGCATCAGAAATGTCATGGCCACTTTAATATGTTACATTTTGTTCTCAGTTTGGTTGTAGATATGTGAACATTTCCCACAATTAAAAAAATGAAAAGCACTATGATTTTCCTTTAGCCATCATCTCATGTTATCTTTAATAATGTATAATAATCCTTGACTCTACAATACTCCAGGCTTCTTTTTGATAAATCTAGTTATCTAAATCTCTCCTCTGGTCTTATCACTGCTAATTCAGTGGCTCCATGATGTACTAGCTGAGAAAATGTTAAATGAGGACTGCTGAGCTTCGGAGGAAGAAAATGACTGTCGCACACATAGGCGTTCAAATACGTAAAGGTCACACAATGGTCATCTTCAGCAATCCAGCAGAGTTAAAAGAAATCCTGAGATCTTGAGGTTATGTGTTTAACCTTGTGCATGCATGAGTCTCCTCACATGAATATGACCTAAGGGTGCTATTAACATTTATCTTATGAAACATTTCCTATCGGCTCCGACACAGCAAGGCTGCTCTCTCTCAATCCATCATCAACATTGCTAAAGCAAGTACAAAGGCCAAGCTTCACTTACTCCCTTTTCATCTTTTAATAGCTTTTACAATTCCACCATTTTGCATAATTTAATAGAACTAATTTATTACCTGAAGAAAAACATCCGATGTGTTTTTCCCTAATTCTAGGTGGATGTACTGAAGGCAGATATGGAGAGCGCTGAGTGGAAGATTTTGGAGAACTTGGTCCTGGAAGGGGTTCTGGACTCAGTGGGGCAGCTGCTGTTGGAGCTCCACCTGCACTGGGCGGGCTTTGAGGTGGGGGGGGAAGACCCCTCCGTGGTGCGGTACTGGTTCAGCCTGCTGAAGGAGCTGGAGCGCGCCAACTTCCGCCTCTTCCACGTCCACAGTGACCCAGCCAAACCTCACCTCTTCCTGCATAAGAATGTTCTGAACGCCAGCAGTGTTTACACCCTGAGCTGGGTGAACACAGAGTGGAAGCCTTGAGGGAAGAGAGACGGAGCGATAAACCCACAAAAAAAAAAACATATCTTGGCTTGAACAGCTTCTGGATGGAAATATACAAGGTTGTGTCACATGGAGTTTTAAGTCGGAGTACACATTCTGCCAGACCACAGCTGTTCCTTAACAGACTGCTCTTATCTGGCCTGACCTTTCTGCCAAGCTGAAATCCCTGCTCCTACTTATCCTGTTCTTCCTCTCCTGGCCTATAAAGACCTTGGACGTGTAAAGGGGCAGAATAATTGCTTTCCGAGGCTCTCTGTGGTCTACCTCATAGTGGTGGTGTTTTGGCTGCAGGTCAGCCTCCGATTCAGTCAGCTCCGTCATCATGGTACTATCAGAGCTTGTTGTTAGACAACCTTTCCAGATTATAATGGTCTGCACAGGCCTACAGCCCACTCATTAGAACATGAATAAATATACATTTTGTTAAAGGAAATGTATTGAATTTGAATATTTTGAGAAGGCAATAGGGTCTGCTTTAAAAAAAGAGAATAAGCAGAGGAATGTGTGCAAAGGTAGAGATGTCGGAAGCGGATGATTTCTGGACAAGCGGATGTTTCCCTTTACTTGAACCCTGATATGATTTTTATCTCGAACCGAAAACATAACAGTAATGTGAAGGACGTCAGTGATGCATCTAGATTTGCTCATTTTTGATTGTTGGATATTTGAATGAATATGTGTGGGAGAGTGTGTGGGAAAAAGACAAAAAGAATACATGAACTTCAATTATTTCCTTCCCATATTGCAGTGTCCTGGGTTGTAATGAAACAAAACCAACAATTGAGGTCCACACAAAGCGGCATTGTGTGACTGTCATTTCTTTTCCTCCTTTCAGTTTTTGTGTGGTGTACAATAAGCCTCACTCACCATCTCTGCTGCACCAGAAGTTAACCAACAAACTTTCTCTGAAAACAAATCACTGGGATTGCCAACCTCAAAAAATATCCAATAAATCTGATTTGCCAAATATTTAAATGAAATGTAATAAAGAAAGTTAACAAAAGGTCTCTCATGTGTTGTGTTAAATTATGGCTGAATACACATTTTGTCCAAGGAACCAATGCTTCATTTTCTTAAGAAGTCAAATGTACATGTTTATTTCCACACAGCGATGGTCTTACAATTGAAAATTAATAATGGTTACTACATATTACAAAAGAAAAGCTACAAAGAACATTGCAACAACAACAACAATCTGAAATAATGTCATGGTTCCCCTCTAATATTCCAAATGCAGTAGAAACTATTTAGAATGTATGCTTGTGGTCATCTTTGTACAGATAATACATAATTTGAACTCTCACGACGAGATACAAAAATATGCTGCTACAATGAGACTGGATACCAGTCCTGTGGCTCTCACTTTAGGGCTTTCAAAAATGTCCCTTTCCGTCTGTCTACAGTGAACCAGTTCTGTTCCATTTCCCAGAACCCCTTGCCCAAACAGAAACACGCTCCATGACATATTTAATCCCAGAGTTTGATTAGTCCATCCCATCCGCAGGTGATGACCTTGGAGGTTTCGTGCGGGTGCCACAGTGCGCTGATGCACACTTTGTCATGAGCCTTGATCCTGTGGTAGAGCTTGGTGGTCTTCCAATCCCAAATGTTCAGCTTTCCATCCGCATCTCCTGACACCACATAGCTGGGGGGAAAAGGTCCAGAAAAATAGACAGATAGAGGAGAGAGAGAGAGGATGGAAAGATTAGCACTTTGCTAAAAAAACGTTACCTGCCAAAAGGTGGGAGTCTGTTTTTCATTTACTGAAATAAGTGATTTTAGAATGTTATTTTTAAACATTCAACCCTTATCTCTTTCATATCTCTTATGAAAGAGTTATACTCTGCTATATCAGAAAATTAAAAAAGGCGTACCTCATGTCTGGGGAGAAGTCCACTTGGCAGGCATAGCCAGCCACCATGTGACCTTTGAAGACCTTCTTCTTGTTCAGTCGGAAGCGGTTTTGGGCCCCAAAGATCAGAATCTGGTTGTCCATGGACTGACAAGCCAGCCATTTACCTGGGGTTGGAAACAAGCAAAGACAATGACGCAACCAGCTCATCTCAAACGGTGCTGCACACAGTACAATACTGTTCCACATGGTCACAAAATCACTGAGAAAAGATTATATTCAAGTATTATGGTATTGGATGTATTGTATAAGAAGTTCATGGCCTATATTAAGTAGGGCAGCAGTTTGCGTTAGTAGTAATCATTTCAATATGCAGACATATCGAAGCTCTAAAAGCTGTCATAGCAAGTTTCAAAGTGCCCATTTGCTCGCTATTTTGTCTCATTAGCATGACTCTGCACAGGCATATGTTTAACAAGCAGCCACTGTAGAATCATGACGCTGCGTGCCACTGATTTTAATATGCACTAAACCTGGCAGTCTAACTACTCTGATCTAGTGCGGCATTAAGTAGAGCTTTTAACCTTGGTGTAAAAATACTTCCAAAACAGAATTCCACACAACAAAAGGCACAAACATTTGGTAGATGACACTCATGAACTCAACATTTTGCCATCATTCAAATTAATTAATAGGTTGAGACATTCAAGGATAAGAAAAAACAAAAAAGCTTTGCATCAGTGACTGCCTCGTTCAGATCTACTCTAAAGGTTTTACAGCCTCAAAGTCACTACACAGTGATTAGAGGCAGCGCTTCAGTGTTAAAGCATTACACAACTCACTGCACTTCTTGAAAGGAAACATGATGGAAATTATTAATGTGGTATGAGACAGAGATCTAGTGTTTCCTTGTCTTACATCCTCCCTCTCAAAACATAAATAAAAAAGACACTAAATGTCAAATGCAATACATGCAGAAGAATGAAAACAACTTGGCCAATTTCAGCAGCGCACTCCAACGCTCTGTACAGATGAAACAGGAGAGGTGGGGCTTGGTGCCATTTAGCGTGAGAGAAAACTGAATGGTCCCCCACTGAGAACACATTCATTATTCACCCGCTCCAAAGAAACTAACCATGTTGGCACAAATAAGAACGCTGCTGCCCAAAGCAAAGGGAGGAGACAAGGGAACGTGTAAGGGAGAGGATGAAAGGGAGGAATCAAAGAAGGTAGAGAAGAGCCGAGTTTGATGGTAGCTGATGGAGTACAAGAGGGAATTCCTGATTCAAAAGGAAGCCTGACATTCGAAGAGGGAGTTATTTGAGGTGTGAGCTTCTATGAAAAGTCTCTCTGTGTCAGACCGAGGCTTCTTACATCCTCCACTCACATCTGTGGAAACTCATTAGTTCAGCTGTCCAGCAGCAAGTTCATTCCATTCTCCCACTGTGTCGCATAATGCATAAAATAATGATGTCCTGATCACAACCGTGTCCCATTCCTGGGCTGACAACTTTCATTTCATTTTTTCTTACACGGTGCCTACGGGAAGGAACATAACATACAAATATTGTAAAGGAATTGTTGCATTTTGGAAAATACGCGTATTTGCTTTATTGAGTAAATTCGATAGGGTCAAAAAAACTCTCCCCATATAGGGAATAGATAGCCTCGCTCTGTCCAACAGTTACCAGCACCTCTAAAGCTAAATGTTAAATCCGAATACAAAAAGGCATCTTAAGGCCCGGACACACCAATCTGACAACAAAGAACTGACACAGACGGACCCCGACTCTGCGTTTTGGCCATGTGTCGCACTGGAACACACCGCAAAGACTTCAGCCGACGGCCGAGAAGCACGTACGAACTGCGCATGCGTGAGTGGCAATAACTCTCCTTACCAGCAGTAGTGTGTATTCGTTATTCAAAAGAGGCAACAACCGGAAGACAGACTGCGTGATAACATAGAGAAGAAGAACAGACTGCGTGATATAAACAAACAACAAATAGCGTGTGCGTTCCATTTTCACTCTACAGCGAGAAGCTCATGGGGCTTTCCCGAACCTGTGTCGAGAGCTGGAGTTAAATGAAATCTCAGATTTGCCTTAATAGTTTGTTTGGGTCCCTCACTTCCGTTTCGCTTCTCATGCACTGATTCGCTAGCTGAACAGCCAATCAGTGATCTCATCGTCGGCCTGACGCCCACCGACGCCGATAATCGGCCTGGTGTGTCCGTGCCTTTAAGATCACTACGTGTCTGACTGTTTGGCCAGGAGCAAAGACTTCTTGGCAATCAACTCATATCACAAGAGAAGAATTGGCCTTTTAACCAAATATAGTTTTCCTTTTGATGCTATCCTCTAATATTTTATAAAAGGTCTCGAAGCCATTTCATTATTATCTTTGAATGGAGGACAGTATCTCTCCATCTAAAGTTCAAACATTACCACCAGGAGTAATATCACTAAAATAAAGGCTTAACAACTGAGCTTCCTTTTACCCAGCGCAGCTTCTCTTTCCCTCCGTGGTTACATGTCATTAATTGAAACTGCTGGCTGCTGTGCGCTCTACAGTTCACTCCCTCACAATACTGTGCATTTAGGAGACTTCATAGTGTTTTAATAGAGCTCAATGGGGCTGTTTGTGACAGCTGGCGTACTAGGAGCAAACACACACAGGATTGGAGATGAATTAGGACTATACAGTCGATATATACCCATCAGAAACCCTGATGACTGGTTCTGAACTTTCAACCCCCATATTCATTTTATTTTCTAAATTCCTTTAAGCAATGACCAACTCTTACAGGTATGAATCAACTCCAATCTGGCCAAATAAGTTTAAGTTCCCCAGAGTAGGGCTGAACGATTAAAAAACGAAATCGCGATTTGAAATGATGCAATTATCAAATCGCACAGCCTGCGATTTCTTTTAGTTTTTTTCAATTTATTTTTAAGTGTTTTTGTTTGTTCTTCTTGTGTGTCAGTCATCCACACCAATCAGAAGTGCTGTGCTCCACATGTACCAGTCATTGTTAACCAATCAGAAGTGGCCCATGATAGTAGGTGATCGACAGATTGATCCAATCACCTGCCAAGTATTTTTGAAAGTGCCTGCCCTTTCCAAATGGCTTCCAATGGAGCTTTCCTAGATGGTTTGGTGAAACAAACCATCTGAGTCAGGTTAGTAATGCTCCATCATATGTTTTACATCTATTACAGGGTGAATCTTAAACTAGGGCTGTCCCGAATACCATTTTTCGGGCTCCGGATATTCGGTAGTAATCAGCAGCAAATATAATATATTATTTGTTAATGTAACCCAATTTGTGTTCTTTGAAATTGAAAAGGATATCGCATTGTGTTTGTTACTTTCGTTGCAGTTGTATATGTCTTAAGTGTAATTTGGCTTGGCTTCCTATTTATGGACATGCTTTTATTTTGAAGGAGAGTTAGCGCAGTTGACAGGAAGTTGCTTTGGAAACAATGTGACGGAGATTAACGGAGAAAAGTAATATCTACATATAAAGACGGAGAAAGTAAACGATAACGTTTATGGTTAAGTGTTAACACCCCCCGAAGAGGCACAAGCTCTTACGTTGATATTGGAGATTTCAATAAATTCAATTTGAAAAAAAAACGGGAAAAAAAACGAAAAAACAAACAAAACGAATATCCGAATAACGAAATTGAAACTCGAATAGTACTCCAACGAACGAATATTCGGGTACAGCCCTATCATAAACTAAAGCTTGACTTTAAAGCAACCCAACGTAAGTTTCATGTAAGTTTAGTTCTTTCACTCGTAGCTCGGGCTGCGGGGGTGCTAGAGACGGGAGCACGTTGATACGACCTTCCTAGCCGGAGATATGGCCGCATTTTACAATAAACGTCCGTTGGGTCGCTTAAAAACAAATATCGCAAATCGAATCGCAATATCTGTCAGAAAAATCGCAATTCGATTATTTCCCCAAATCGTGCAGCCCTACCCCAGAGTCTTCTGTACTTTGACTGACAGCATCTGTGGGATGATTTGAGTACTCACCGTTGGGAGAAAGTGTCACCGCTGGCATGGAGTGCATGCTGGGCTCGGCGATGTACTTGAAGTCCACTGGGATGTCCCTGAAAAAAGAAACAAAGCACTGTGAGCAAACTTGAAGGTGGGTTAAACACAGGATGAGACTACAACCGAAGAGAAAAACACTGAAAATAAAAACATTTAATGAGCTGTAGTTTGTTCATTGCAACTAATTATGCAGTCTCAAAAATGCTCACAGGCGGAGGAACAGCTACGGTGAAAAACAAGGGAGGTTCACCATTACAGCTAACAGTATGTAAACAATTCTGCTCTGCTCTGTCTCTGCTTTGGGAGAGATAGGAAACTTGGCTAGTTAAACTTAAGTGAACTGCAGAAGATCATTCAAATCTACAGAGCTGCGTGTGTCTGCCAGGATGACAGCATGACAGTTTCCTCTTTTTCTATACTGTGTAACTTTGGTGTCACTCTGCCTAAACTGTGGGTGTTTGCATCAAGTAAGTGCCCTGCTCTCCTCCTGCCATCTGCTTTAACTAAAGCCATGCCTGAGATGAGTAACAGCTTCAGCAAAGGGATCGCACCACACGAGCACACAAGACCAAAGATGGGCTTTGAAGAACTTAAGACAAGAGTTTGACGAGAAATGCAAACCCTTGTTCACATTAAACACACAACTCATGCGCACACACAGGCAGACATTTAAAAAAAAAAGAGGCGGCAGGGTTTGTCAGATTCAATGTCAGCAGACATGCAAAGATAAACTCAGGAAAGACAACAAAGACAACAGATCTCTTCATCAGAGCTCCAGAAATAACCGTGTGAATGTTGTGTAGCAGAGGTGGGAGAGGAAGAGAGGAAAACACACGACAAACATTCTATACACTGGGGATAATCATGAATAATAGATGATTGTTTACGGTGTCTATCAAGATAGGTTACAGTGACGACACTGAAAGAGGATTTTTTTTAGAATTTCGTACGTGTGAACTTTTGTTTGTCAGGCATAATATCTGCAGTAAGGTTCAGGTTAAGTGTAGAAATCAGACTGTTTGTTTGTAGCTGGAACAAATGCAAGAATCAGAACACATAAATACTAGTATTGACTAAAGAGTACATTGATATTTCTTTCTTTTTAATGACTGCGACACTTCTGCGTTGGTATAGTCATGACTAATGGACAAATATTAATATAATGTTAATATTTGGGTTGGCAGGCAGATTTAAAAAAAAGCTCAGGACATGATGAAAGTCATTCTGGAGGGAAATGCTCCTCGATGACATGGCAGTTCACTTTCTGTCGTGTGTGATTCCAACTATGTCCTCCCCTCTGCTCTGCACATTTTTACAGCTTTCTGGATCCCCTTTTCCCCCCAATCCATCATCATGCCATATGTCCCTCTTAGCCCACAGTTTCATCGCCCTCTGAGAGATGTGTTTTTGAACAAGAGCTAATTCCCCTTGTTGGCACAGAGCAGCACATTTTATATTGATTGTAATCCTCCCTCAACTCATACACCAACACTTCACTCCCAGAGGATAAACCCCGGCTGCAGTTCAATTCCTCTCCCAAATAAACTTGAGTTAAAATGAGCATGGCATTTGAATTACGCCTCTTAGACTGTGTTGTGAATGACTTTAGATTTGCTGCCTCACAAGCTTGTCTAAGCATCCGCACATCCTCACCCGGCCCCTCCCCTCTACTGAAGACATGAGAAAATCTGCCTAATGCTGCCGTGTAGCCGCTCTCACGGGAGGGGTTAGCTGAGAGCCAGGTGGTAACCGTGGGAGACAGAGGGACAGTAAAGCCACTCTCTGGCCGAGCATACCACTCGCCCATTCGCTCCATTTAGAAAGTTCATGGGAGACCCCCCCCCCTCCTCCTCCTTAACAAGCTTACAAATTAGAGTCATGGGATGTTGTATTTTACTTCTTGATATTCTGTCCTCCAACTCACATTTAAAGAGTTTGTGAAAAACAAAGCCCTTTTTATTGACAAGTTAATCCCCATTTCTCACACTGGGAAGATCTGACTAGAGCGAAAAAATAAATAAAGGTTTAAAAAACATTTGTCCTTGAAAACCCCCCCCCCTCCTTTTCAAGAATCTAAGCGTCTTTTATCTGCTGGTTTTTAAATATTTATCGTCTTTGAGCAAAAGTACCAGAGTTTGTTTATCAACACAGGACCCCCGGTTACTCTTAGTAGTCCCTCTCATGTAATGAACATATCTTGAAATACATATTTGAAAGGCAGGAGGGGGATTACAAATACTTTTAAAACTTTATCTGATTTGCACATCTGCTTTCCAATAATGTAATATGCATAACTTAATTATTTATAAAAATATGCAATTGGCAGCAAAGGCCAGGCTCACAGGGGTTATGCTGGAACATTGGTACAGTACAGTGTTAGCTCCCAGTGCAACAGATGCATGTAAAGCATGGAGGCAGAGCCGATGACTCAGAGCAGATTACAGCACAGCTGGGGGAGCTTTGTCCGAGACACTGTTGTCGAGAGTTTTGTCGATGTCAAATCCTCTTATGAACAACCAATGAAAGGAACAATGAGCGGTGCAAGAGGGCATCTTCAGGAGGCAGCAAGATACACTGAAGATGTATAGTTTGTCATTTCAAATGTTCTAGGTGCAGAGGTTAGACAAAACACGACACAAACTTTCCTTTTACAATATCTACTGCATTTGCACACGTGGCGTCCACTTCTAGATAATTCTTGATATATTTATTCTAACATTTACTCAAAAAAAATGTTAAGTCGATGAAATGAAAAGCACTGAAGCACTGTTTGAGGCTCTGATATTAAAACAGAGTAGTAAAGACATTGTGTATCACGCAACCATAAGGTTGTCGTGCACAGTCAGAAATATCCACAAACACTATTAAGCTCATTGGTCAGTAGTATGCAGTGTTAGCTCTTGACTGATGCACATCAAACTCATCATTAATATCAGCTGACAGACCAAGCTAAAAAAAGGTCTAAACCACCACACCAAGCGTTTCCTGAGCGGTCGTTGTGAAACACGCAGCGGGGCTTTCTCCCCCACAGTCACTGAAGAGTGGAAATTAGCCATAAGTCTGTCAACACCACTTTACTTTGTTAGGACAAAATAGTTCCATGTAAGTGCTTGTAAAACGCTGAGATCTCGTTTTTGTGAAGAATCTACATTAGCAAGCATCTGCCTCCCTATCTTTGCCAGCTCTATTAATAACTTTCACAAGCACAAATCGCATCGACAGATAAAAAAATCCATCACATATTAAGTTTGAATCACTCAGCGAGGCGAGGAATAAAGGAGAGGGCGAGACGGTGAAGCGTCAGAATTAAAAACTAAATGTTTAACAACAGAGCAATCTCTGATTCTAATTTAATTCTTAAGACTTAATGAACACAACTTTGGTAAAAAGACAAGACAGCATTATACGTTTCATTAGAGCTTCAAGGATCTTTAACATTTTTAAAGGGTCTATTTTCAAGGTGTTCCTGTATCGGATTTCCCCCCTATTAATTCAACCACTTCACGCACCATATGTCAACCCTGATTTACAGCTTGTAGTCTGCACTTACCACTCCCAAACTCGAAGACTCTTATCGTCTGACGTGCTGACAAACCGGCGATTCTCATCCACAAAGGTGATGGTGTTGACGGCTCCCAGGTGACGGTCGTACTCCTGAACCACCTCATTGGTCCTGATGTCCCACTGCCAGAGAGACAAGGCGCAGAGAGCAAAACACACAGAGAAGGTTAACACATTCATTCAAGTCAAAACCTAGTAGATTATTAAACTGGATTCAAAAAACGACATATATGTTATTAAAAAAAGTTTTCTGCTGTGTGCTGATAACCTATTTTCCTACAATGGTGAAAGATATCTTATATCTGGGCTGTGGGAGACTCACTGAGAGGCATTTCTAAAACTGTGCCAATGCAGTGAAATGATTTAACTGCATTGTAATGTTAGCTATCAAACATACACGCATTAAAATGGAAGGAAAGTCACGTAGGAAGGCCTCCAGGCAACAACTGAATAGGATGCATTAATGCCCAAACATATTTGATATCCAATTTTTATTCTGTTCTGTTTTTTAAGATCATAGCCTTCGGGTGATCACAGGAGCAGCCATCTGTTCTGAAAACCCCGGAGAGAGCAGCATGATTTAATAATAATGCTGAATATGTGCCAGATATTGTGATAATGACTTCTTACATCAACATTTTGACATTTAAATTAAATTAAAGATGCAGCTGAGAGTATAATGTTAGTTAATCCCAAACTGCATGATTATGAATTGAGGAAAACAAAATCAGACAACAAGCTCTTGACATAAAACCCCAACCTTCCTATAGAGGGTCAGAGTAACGTGTTCTTAAAACTGTTAACCTAATTGTATGATATTACAGTAATGGATTTCCTACTATTATCACCAATTGGTCCCCTTTGCCTCTTCCACCCTAATGCTCCCCATGATTAATGACTTGCTGTAGTCCTGTTGAAACCCAGACACACAGGTTTGCAGAGTTTATTTCACGCTTCGGTGGGCGCACATAGAAATTCTTATGTGCATCTGCTTGGCCAACTGGGAAATATACGCTTGAAGTGATGCTTGGAGCAGAATTGAATTTCACCTGAACAATCTTCTTATCAGACATGCCGGCCACGAAGAGATCCTGTTTGTCCTCGTCTGGGTTGAACTTGACGCAGTACGGAACCTTTCTGTTGGTGAAGCGAGAGATACACTGGCCTGTGGAGAGGCAAACATAAATGTCAGAGCTCAGGAATAATTCCCTGTGCTTTTCAGAGGAGACACTCAAGTTGTTTAAAAGTGAGGACACAAGACATGTTTTCAAACCACAGCTCAGCCGTAACACAGACACATTTCTTTGGGCGTTTATTCAGCAGAGGTGAAACACCACAGGAGCGATGCTACCTCCACTGCTGGAGAAGAGGGAACAGGAAATTGGAAATGACTGCAACACAAAGAGGCCTTTAAAAAGATAGGAATAGAGGCCGTTCACCTAAATCATTTATGTATCACATCCATTGTTTAACTGCAAATTGGACACATCTAAATACTAGAAACTTCTCGAGGCATCCCTGCTATGTGCAGCTACAACTTTGTACTGAACAACCCGTCACAAACTGGTGGGAACACAGTCTTTAAAATGAACTTATTATGCAGTTAGAAAGTATAAGAATGATGTGGCTTTAAATCCCGTTGACAACAAGTGGGGGATTTAACTCAGTTCTGCCCTCTGCTGGATTGGCAGTCTTGAGTTGAGTGGGGTGGGAACTGAGATGGATGAGGAGTGGGGGAAATGTGACCCCAGAGACACTACATGTAGATCACTTTCCCCCTCTGTATAAACAGATACAAACAGGTCAAACAATGATTCTTCGTCTTTTGGATCCCAAGGGTCCAGTGTCATATCTTTACATGTCCTGTTTTGTCCGTTCAGAACAAAAGGATATTCGACATACGATTCAAATAGAAAACAGCAGGATATCTCCATATTTAATGAGTGAAAACAGCATTTCTGCTATATAAATCAATAAGTTGACTAACCGTTTCAGCTCTAGTTTACCATCCCTACTGACAGAGCAACCAAAAATCTAAGAAGCTGGAGTTAGGGAATGTTTAGTATTTTTGCCTGACAAATTTGTTTACTAATTAAAACCTTAGCAAATAGGAAACTGTGTGTGCAATTCAATAGTCTGTGTAAAGGCCGAATGAGAAACTGGCATTCTAGCTTGCATGGCCAGCCGATAAATGCCGACAATAACACAAGGAAGCTCTCTGCGCAGTCATTCACAGTTATCTGGTGGCTTGTGAGATCAAGGCTATATAAGATTGTGCTGAGGTTTGTTATGATGTCCTTCCTTATATAATATCTGCAGTGTCCACGAGATTGAATTTTTTTCACAGAGTATTCAGGGTTAGATACTGAACACCCTCTTGAGAAGCTTGAATAGACTCACTCTTTAAGTGAGATGTTTATTTGGAATCATTCATTCTGAATATTGGCAACAGGAGGTGGTGAGAATAACAGAGAAGAGCTGGAGTCCTACCTGTTTCAGTGTCCCAGAGTTTCAGGTGGCGATCGTAGGCAGCGCTGAGGAACTTGGTTCCAGAGTTGTTGTAGCAAATGTCTCGAACTGCTTTGCTGTGGCCTAACATGAGCGGGGGAAATGTAAACATACATTACAATCAAATAAATAAATATATGCTGAAAATCCACTATGTTCCGTACTCTTGTTATCTTAGTACCCTGCTTCTATACTCGATTCATTTGAGGAATGGGAAATCTGGTGAGGGGAAATAAGGGATGCTGAGGAAGAGAGATGATGTGGGATGTGGGAGACGAGGGGAAGGGAATCTTTAAATGAGCTTGAGAGCGAGAGTAATGTCATGCTCCATCTGTCTTAACCACTGTTCTACACCTTCTCCCATTCTCCTCATCTATGAAACCTCTTTGACTTTTTCTCATGCAGTGCAGGTGATGCGGGGTCCCCGGGGGCTCAGGGCGCAGACGGCTCCCTTGTTAAAAAACTGCTTTTATCAGGGCTACACTGTTTCCACAGCGATAACAGAGCCCACTGAGGCTAAGTGCATGCCGGCTCGCTCGCAAACCAAAAGGCGCTGCAGAAAAAAAGCCTTGTTGGTGTGCGAGTGAGGAAACAAATATAGATGAACTACTGAAGGCCGGGCACACATGTCAATACCCTTTGTCCCACTCTGCATTCCGACATGATAATGCACACATAATGATATGCACGCTCATTCATGCACATCCCACAAGCTCACGTATACTTCACTGTTCTTTCTGACTTGATAGTACAGACAAGCTACGTGTGCTAACAACAATGGTGTGCAGTGTGTGGTTCAATAACAGATGCTTTGCAATTGCAAGACGTTTAGGAGGGAAATACCTAACGCATTAAAAAAACGGTGAAGCAAACTACACATTGTAACAAAAAGGTGTACTTTCTAAAAGATATGAAAGTCATCCAAATACATAAAACAAAGAAATAAAATAGAATTGAACACTTCAGCGAGAAATACAGAACAAACAGAATTATTCATTATACTGTTGTAAACAAATTAAATACCAGACAGCTGATGATTAAAGTGAAAACCTAATGTGCTCTTCACAACAAAGCAGCCTCATTGTGTGCATCTCTACTGCTCCCCCAGCTCACAAACCCCCCCAGCCTGTCACTGTCAGTTTATTAACCCCTAAACGGTGCCGCTCTTCCTGTACGCCAGCTCCTCTCCCTGTCTTGTGCCCCACCTCGCCCCCCCCGTTCCCCATGGCCCTCGTGCTGCTGAATTATGCATTTTCTGCAAGCAGAACCATGGCTGCAAACAATCTCTATGCAGACAGTGTGCCGTCTCTTGGAACAGTGTTAGAGTGACCTGCACACATCAGCTGAAAACCCCCAGACCCCATCTATTCCCCCATCAAAGAATATCCCTAAACTTCCCGTCAGCAGACGTGTCATTATGTTCCAGTAATGATGAGCTCACTTTGCTGTGTACTTCCCTATCGGCTGAGTGCATTTCAGACTTCAAACATATTTCATGTCATCATCTTTGCTAATGATCCATCGTTGGTTATTTAAGTTTATACATTTATTTATTAAAAAGGTGTGAATTTCATATTAGTCTGATAACAGCTCATACAAATAATTATCAAGTACAGAACAGAGGGTTTACCAAATCAGAATTTAAACACACTTACCAATAAATGTCCGTACACACCTCCTCTCGCCGTACACTTCCCACAACTGTGACGAGAAAGAGATAATAACAACGAATGAACACAGACATTAACACACATCTAATTAAATCATGAACACAGACATTAACACACATCTAATTAAATCAGCAGAATTAATATGCATTATGGGTGGATTGAGATCAGTTTTAAACCGTACAAAAGCAACGCGGTACAATGAATAGAGTGCTGGTTTGACAATGACACCAGCAAATCAAAACAATGATTAAACTGCATCATTGAAACACAGAATGAGAATGTGTATATCCACTCATAAGCTTCTGAGATGTTTATAGTGTAAAAATGTGATTATTTACCTTGATCTTACAGTCCATGGAGGACGAGAGCAGAAGATGACCAGAGCTAGGAAATAGTCTGATGGCACTGACACCCTGTGAAAAAAAGAAGACATGCAATCATGAGTAAGCTACTCTAATCATTACTACGGGTCCAAACACCATTGGTGAAGCAATACCATTTTACATCAGTGTGATATTTAATCAGCTCCTACAGGAGACATTATTAGTTTCATCATAATATCGAGTGCAGGCAGAGTGTCTGTGCAGAACCCTCTGCTCCATATTAATCAGAGAAATTAGGATAACTTCCAAGTTACTAAACTTTCCCCAACAAATGTCATAAAACTTTGGGACACCGTGTGGGCCATCCTCCATCTATTATCTCGACATCAGCACATCCAGGCGCTTATTATCTTTTCAAAACACTTTGCGTTTCAAATGAGACTCTGAAGGCTGTAACTTCCTGCACAAAGCGGATAGGAGCCAATTTAAAACTCGAGTGATTTCTCTCTCCCTGAAGCACACTGGCAGATCTGACACTTGAATCAGATCTCTCTAGGAATAACCCAGTGTTTGCTTTTACATTTGAATTATAATGACTGTGTTTTGAAAGAAACTGAATAATCTTGGATATGTCAGGGACAATTTGCTCGTATATGGCTTTGTTATCATTTTATTCAAAAGTACTCGTAAGAATGTATGAGGCAGACAGTAAAAGTCTCCCAAGGACTGCATAATGGAATATTCTCTCTATGTATGCAGACACCTGTTTGACACTGCTATCATTTCACATTCAGAATAATTTTAAAACAACATTTGAATACTTATCTTTAGTAAAAACCTGCTTTGAGAATACTTATATATGCAAGGTTTATTAACTGGTACACAAAGAGGCCATTAATGTACACAAAGACACACAAATGTATCTTTGTCTCTTCCCACTGACCTTGGTGTGTCCGGACCAGACATGAATCTGTTTCTTAGGCAGGTAACATTTGTCCGGAGCCTCTGAAGAACGCAGGTTGATGCCCACATCCTGTGGGACGTGGAGATAGGACCTGCCCTGGTAATCATACATGTCTTTAACTGGGGGGTGAACAAAAAGAGACAACAAATAATTACAAAACAATCCTGCAGCATTTGGATACAAGTTTAAAAAGGGACACCTGGCTCTTGGATGTGCTAATTTTACAAAAAGTCTTATAATACTAAAAGGAAATGTTAAAATCAATCATTCCAACTAGGCAAACGTCATCTTCCAAGAAAGACTGTCCATACCATGGAGAACAGTTTTCTCTTCTGCAGGAGCTTCTTCCTCGCTTCTGCCCTTCTTCTGCCTCTTGGCTGTGATCTCATCCAGCTCTTTCTGCTCTTCCTGTAAAATAAAAACAATTCACAATCTGATATTTACCAAGCATATTAGTTATGGGAGACATCACTGAAGATATAACGTGCCAAGTTAAGTCATTTTCTCACATATGCATGCCGTGCCAAAGCGCTTTTTGGTTAGGTTAAACAAAGCATTACCTCTGATGGTTTGGCCCCGTCTTTCTCATCTATAAATTTCGCCCATGGTCCAAGGAACTCTTCAATTTCTCCTGCATCTCCACCTTTGATCTTTTTCCTTTTCTCTGTCTTCTTTGTTCCACTCTCAAACACAGTGAGCCCTGGAGGAAGAGACACCACACATGATCATTGTTAATCTCCTCAAATAGGTACTTTATGCATGATAACACATAATAAATAAAGTCAGCTGCAGGTGAACACTTTACAAATAAAGTGAGATGTACCTTTATTTTTCTCCGCCTCATCCACTGCGCCAATGTAGCTATTAGTGGTGGGAGTTACCTGGTGTGTGTCAACAGATGGATCTAAAGCATAACCTACGGATAGAGAGGGGAAACGGTCATTCAAATTCAGGGTCAATACATTGACTGCATCATTTAAACCACAGAGGTCATAGATGAGCTTACCAAAGGTGGAGAAGGTCCTCCTTTGCGATTCAAACATGAAGTCGTTGAGGTGAGCAGGTTCTGCATAGCCAGATAACATGTTCCTGGGGGCGGACATCTGCTGGCTTTTAAACGGGTTCATCGGCCCTAACTGAGAGGAAGAAATACAAAATCATTAATAACACAATCTTTTTACGAATGGACCCTCGCAAAGGAAATTATGTTCAAACATGGTCCTCATACATACATTTCTAAGCATGACTTCAATTCCAACCGACTTATTTAATGATTTATTAACCATATTTTACATGGATCAAGAAATAAGTACAGCACTAGATTGATTCAAATGAGAAATTGCAGCATTAAACGGAAGAAATAAGGATAATGGAGGAGATGTGACATAAACATTCTTTTAAATCAGAAATGATGTATTTGTGTGACATTTTGAATATTAGAACTGGTTGATATTATCACATATAAGTATTATTTTGGATATGGTAGTGCCAAGCTGGTAGAGGCATTTGTCAATTGTTTCTCAGCTAGAGAAAACACACAGAACTGTATGCAAAAAAAAAAAAAAGTCTTTCAAATTCCCGTTCAATATTATTCTACTGCACTTGACCTATCCCTAGATGTCATTTACTAATTACCAAACTTACCTCTGGTGCAAACAAGGTTTCATATGTCGGGTTAAACGTGACTTCTTTCAATGAAGGGTCCAGGTGTGTGCCAGTCTCCACCGCTTCCTGAAGAGAAGAGGTACAAAAAGAATCTCACTGTTTGACTAGCAGTACATTGATTACAACATTGATGTTTTAGTGTAAAAGCTGTTTTTGTTGTTGTTTTTTTATAGTTCACATTTCATTCAGTTGTTCAGGTCTATACAATCATTGACAGTACATTTCAATTATCTCTTCCGGCCTTCTGTAGTTTAAAATGAAATCATAAATCAATGTATTAAACATTTTGTGGAGAGGCAGGACCTTTAAACTAGCTATAAAATAAATTACGAACAAGAACAAGACGGTTATGGGGCTGCAACTCAATAATACTCAAACAACGGGGGCAATCGACTTCAGACAAATGATGGTCGTATTTGTTTAACATACATTAACCATCTTTTAAAAAGGCTTCCCTGTTGCCGTTTTGGTACTAGCTGCTGAAAAACTACATAAAGCCATTTCAAAAACGTCATATTTATGAATGAACAGTTAGTCGGTACAACGTGAGACCAACATGCAATGCTTTTGCTCTACCCCTAAAGTTTCCCGCTAACCGCTGCTGGTTTTACTCGTGACGTTTACAACTTACAACTCCACACAGAAAATAGTTATTCACAGAGTCTCTTTCGTAATCAATTGAGACAGTTCTTCTCATTATTATATTCAGGCATTGCGTGATTTATAGTAGCTAACTTTGACAAACTAATTTCAACGTTTAGCTAACGTTAGCTAGCTTTGTTAGCTTACCTTAACGGCGACCTCGGGAGCGAGATCGAGAAGAGCCACAGACATTGTGGGTGCAGACTTGAGAGGTTTAAGGTGAGCCGTGGCATCCGGGTCCGCTGGATCCACTTTCTCAACACCAGAATTTGATTCGGACTCATTTTCTGAATCAGAACCGCTACCGTACGAAACGAGGGAAGCTATGGTGGCAGCCATCTTGGATGTTGTGAATTCGACGGAAGCAGATGGGCGTTACTTCCGTTGTGAAAAAACACATTTTTTTCATCCGAACATGTGACATTTACACGAAAAAGAACATTTATAAAAAGGCTTGACTCTACTATTAACATAATGCTACATTCAAGATGGTAGCAGGACATGAGGTTATTAAAAATTGTTTAACAAAATAAGAGAAAAACATGAATAAAATAATAATATGACAACTTTGCTTCCCGACGAGAACATAATAATAAATGGCAGAAACAAAATATATGGAGTTTTTTAGGTTAAATAAAATTGAATTTGAAAATAACAAGTATACAGTAATGCTGTTTTTGAACAAACCATAAAGTGCAAACATTTCAGATACAAAAATAGAGCTGCAACAATTAGTCAATACATTGATTGGGTGGTATGCAGATAATGAGGACTAATTGCTCACTTTTGATAAATGATCATTTAGTAATTTCTAAACACAAAATCCTCTCTGCTTATGAAATTCGAGGATTACCTTTGACCTAATTAAATGTATTTTGACCAAAGTGACACTTTGACTATTTTTACATATGTATTAAACAATTGATACAGAAAGATAATTGATTACGATACATATCAATCATATTTATCTACGCTTGATATAAATATTGGTTGCAACATGGTCTGCTATATTGCTCAGTATCGTCATTGACTTTTGCAATTTATTATTTAATGTTGTCAATGTGATATCATCAAATCATTGTGCAAGAGATGAATTAATTATGGTATGATGTGATTTGTATGTACAGTGAGGGTTGAAGTAATCTCTGAAATGGATTGGACAGCACAAAATGACGGTGTGAGATAACTAGCCAATACAGCATGCGAGCATGTTGACCGAGAGCCTCCCACGAGCACAGCAGCAGTTGCATGGAACGCTTTCTCGCGCCCTAACAATAGAGTGGTAAGTACCATTATCACCGGTTAAAATGGGGACATTTTCTTGTGAATAAACGTCAATTCTGACCGGTTACTTTGGAGAGAATATTTTTGCCGCATATGGGTAAAACTGACGGACATTTTTGTGTTGCGAAACCTGTTGTTTGCCTGACCGGACCAGGTTTGATGCCAATTTCAACTAAATCTACCCTGAGATTCCCTTTGGAAAAAGGTGCCTGGATTCTCCTCCGCCGCCGCCTCTTCCACCAGGAGTACATTTGATATCAGAGACAGTACAATCATGGATCCGACCCGGGGATTTAAATTCTTGGACACGGTGGCATGCTCTGCAGCTCAGTGAGGATGGGAAGAAAATAAGAGGATTTTTAACAAACGTATCAGGTAATTATTTGAACACTGTGTACTGAAGTCGCATTTTTCACTTGCATGTGACTTTAGTAAGGTAACGTTATTGCACCTCTGCACAACAGCAACAAACTGCCTTAAAACCGAGTCACCATGTTGTAACACTAGATATTTACCGGAGCGGATGGACTAATAACGGTCTTGGTAATAACCATAGACTAAATAACACACTGCCTGGCTGTCTCTGACCGCCACCCGGTACACAGGTGACTAATGTGGCAGTGTTGACTACGTTAAGACGCCGAAGTAGTCCAAACCGTTAAAAGTACCAACATTATGTTGAATAATAAAACATGAACGAGACACTTTCTAACGGGACCGCTTGTAGGCTGATACATTGCAAAGCTCCACATCTGCAGGAGCTCACGCAGCAGCGTCTTGACATATTCAGTCCTAGCAATATCATGTTGGTGAGAAACCGGAGAGCAAATATTTGCATGGGATCGCACATTATCTAACGTTATAGAAACATGCCGCATATCTCATCTTGCAGGTTACATTCTACGTGGGGTCGTGGAGTACCAGGTTGGTACAGTAAGATCAGGCGAACCGCTGGCACGACCTGATTTCATTTTCCCACTAAGAATGCATTGACTTGCCGAGAGGATAGGGGCTGGGGTCTATTCCAGCACCGCTTGGTTTGCAGTCATGGGGGATGGTAACCTCCAGCCCAGTGAAAATCATGCTTTGTGAAATTCGAAACCTTCTTTGTACTACTTCAAGTACAGCAAGACAAGTGGGCATGGGGAACAGTGTTGGTGATCAGCTTTTATAAATGGTGATTTTGATTCGTTCTATTACATGAGGCCAGCTCGTGTTGTGCTTTTCATTATAGGGCTTACATTAAACTGACCACCTTTTCTGCAGCATGTCCATTTAAACCCAATCAATGAGAGGGTCTTAGGCTGGTGCAGGAAACACTCTTGTGTAAATTGAAGCAAGCAATATATTTCATGGCTTGTCTTCAAAATGCAGTAGTAAAATAGTAGTGGAAATTAGTGTCAAGATCTATGGTTGGTGATGAATGAATCGTCAGCTGCAGGGCCATTGATAAAAGTAGGTACTGTATACTGCATTCCTGCTGCTTTGACAGTTGATCAACTTGTGCCTGTGATGTATTAAATGTATCTTTTAAATGTAGAAGGATGTAGATGGTGTAGTGACTGCATGCAATATGTATCAGCGGAAGGATTTTACTTATTCGATTACTTTATAATTAAGTTAAGGAATTACTTTCCCCAGATCTTTGTGTATCTCAAGAGGAACTGCTTTAAGTCTAGACAACATGTCAATATCAACAAACAGAAACAGCTGATCCTTAAAACTAAATTTAGCCACACAGCTCTTCACACCACACTATCTGGACTGTGAGTCAATGGAATTTCGTAGAAAACATTATCTTTCATTTGTCATTTTACATTTTTTTTGTTAAATAAATAACAGGCAGAATTTGTATGAATTATTGTGTGAGCTTGATGATAAGCCTAGATTGTTTATGTAGAACATATACAGGTCTCTGTACGTGTAAGCAGCCCTGGACAAAATACTCTGAGAGTCCTTGCAGCTGTTACATTTATCAGTCTGTAACAGTGGCATCCAAACTATCACATGACTGGGTGGAAGCTATAGCTAAGTTTCACAACAGCTCAGAGGGAGCTTATATAATGTGCATACAATATTTGCCATATGGGATGAATTTGGAGTTGCCTTCTAAACATTATCCAATGCCCAAAATGTCATTTTCAGGACCAGTGATCAAATTCCCCCTCGCTCAGCTCTGAGTGGATGTATGTTGAAGTATGCCTGCTGTGGCTTGAAATCTCTGCTTCTGTTTTGTTTGAGGCAAGTTCTCCCCAAGTGGGTTACCTCCTGGGGCTTTGTTAGTGGTATTTTTAAGCTTGCAGGGAAACAATAAACAAAGGTGAAAAGAAGTTGAAGGGTCTATCCACACAGCCTGCTCCATGATACAAGGATTTAAATAGGGCTCGGTTTAGCTACAGGTGTGTTCCAAAAATAGAGCAGAACATATTGCCTTGGTTTATCTGATGCTGTTTGCAAACTTTTAGCTGTGAGGGATGACATTCCTGCACAGTTTGCAGTTCTTGTTGGTTATTCTCTGTGTTTCAGAAGCCCTTGTGATATAGAAGAGCTTTGGCATGCCTCCTGCGGAGGCTTTTGGACCTCTCTTATTTGTTGACATTGCTCTGATCCTCTGCCAGTCGTTGGCTTTCTCATGCTAGCAAGAAGAATATCTCTCTTTCTGTAGCTCTCTTTTGTCTTTTCCGCAGAGGTGGAGAGGGGGTGATTGGAGGACACACAGAACAACATAGGGCATAATGAAAGAGCTTGTAGAGAGAAAAGAAGAGATGGGAGTAAAATGAGTGATTGCTGCCTGGCATGAGGAGGTGGTGGGAAGAAGGTGGGCCAGGGTTTCTGGGAAAGACAGAGACAGAGAAAATGAATATGTGTCTTACGCCCCTTTACATGCCATTTAGTGGAGCCACAGACAGACCTCCTATCTCCCAGCTGTTAGGATGCTCCAGAGTCTCTGGCACACAGCACCTATTGTTCTTCTTCTTGGCCAGGCCCACTGCTCTATAATACTGCCTCTGTCCCTGGGCTGACAGAGGGACACCAGGGCTCAGTTAGCCCGTCTGACTGGGGCTCCTTGTGCTGTTCCTGCCACTGCCTCCACCACCTCCGTCCCTGCTTTGTCCCTAGATCTGTCCATTCTTGGTTGTGACTTAATTCCCTCTCGCAAGACAAGCTCAGATAAAGTAAGCCCTGACTTTTTCTCTTAATCTTGCATTTTCCACTGCTCTTCTCTACATCTCCAGGGATAAGAGTTGTCATAGTGTGCCTAATCTTGTCACAACCCTTTAAGCGACAGTATAAACCTGTTTAACTTTAATATGACAACTTTGGTGAGCAGGTGAAATAATCTCTTGGGAGTAGTGTCTGAGGCTTTAGGCACAAAGGTAATTCGGCACATCTAGATCATATTTAATTTTTTATTCAACTCCCGGTGTTTTACGGAGTTGAATGATGATAAACAGAAAGCATTTAGCTACTATGTAAACTTGCTCTCACGTAACTGCTGCTAGCAGGTACTGCTGTCGGCTAGTTAGCTGTTAGCTCAGTTAGCCAAACTTTAATGACTGGGAGCTTGAAGCTCTGAGGGTGTTAAGCACAGGAGTTTTGGATCGCTGTACAATATCTCTGAACAGAAAATCTTATCTGCCCTCTTATCATTGTTATCTTCCTGTCTCAAGTTGAAAGTGTCGCCGCCAGTAGTTATTTTCTTCTTCCCTTCTGTCACTTGCTTTGTATTCTTTCAGTCTGTGTGCCTCGGTGTATATACAGCATCCTTGCTCATTGTGATGACCTCTGCTCCAACTAGCTAGACCCCAGCTGCTGTTTGAATACATGCAATATTTCTGTCACTCACCACCTCACTTTAGGCTCTCATGAATTTCAGAAAGAATGAGTCTTGCTTTTATAATGTTCAGCCTAGTAGGTAGATCGTGCCAGTTGCAGCTTTGCAAATAGAAAGGGTATGATCATGCTGTCCAGTTTTTACAACATATTTGTTAAGCTGAAAAACGTTAGTGTCATTACAGTCTAAATGTGGTTCAGCAGATAACACACAGGCCAAAACAGGAAATAAGAAGATAAATATCAGCTTTAAATATGTAGTTGCCAGAGGACTCTCAACTAATGCGCTTAATGGCGGTTTCCTGCAAACTGAATACAAATGTCCTCTCGACTCATCAGCCAGTAATCGCCAGGTATTTGGGAAATGGAGCACCAAGGTGTCCTGTAACTGACCTGTCTTATTCTTTAGCTGAAAGCCAACATAAGCTTCACAATGGGATGAAGTCTGAGGCCACTCCCCAGGTGTCATGTGACTGTTTGGATGGTAAACGTAGTCTGATACTTTACTCAGCACAATGTAGCCTCCGCCTGGTCGAGGGCTGAATTATATACAAGGCTCCCTTAGCTGCTGGCCTCACTGACAGTATAGGTGTGTGTGTGTAATATGTACAATGACTCTAGTTAGGGTGTTGTGTTTGTATTAGCAAAACAACGTTCCTGCCCATTTCAGGTCACAGTGTATTTCTGTGCTGTGCATCATTTCGCTCTAAATGCCGCCAAGTGACATCAAAACGATCCCTGCAGCTGCACTCAGAGCATGTGCATATTTGAATATATTTGAATATACAAAGTTAAGCAAAACACTGGACTCCCCCATACAGTAGCTCTCCATTTTCCTGTCACTCGATCTCTTTGAATATATATATGCGCTCTTTTCCTCTCCCTTGATTTCTGCCTTCCCTCTCTTTCACTGATGGGTTCTCATTGAGCTGGAACGGCCGATGCACCGGTCGTCGTGGTGATGTGGGATGATTGATGGAGGCTAGAGAAATGGGAGGAAAGGCATGTCGTTTATCCAGTCCACGGCTTGAATCCCCCGTGTCAGGACTGAGAGGTCCGTATTCAATTACAGACACGCTGCTTTTTCATTAGGATTTCCATAAGCACTCATTTTTCTTCTCAGTTCCTTCCCCTGCGCTGGGTCGAAGAACAAGGGGAAAGACAGTGAAGGATTAGAAGCAAGAAAAGTAGAAAAAAAAACATGCAATAGGCTTTTGCTTCACATAGGCATATGATGTACCAAACAATCACTTACATGGATGCATTATATATATATTTACAGTATATCAAGGCTAAATTATCAGCATGATACATGAAGCGCGGCATCTACACACTCAGATACAGAAGGTGGTGTTACTCTACCTTTTTTAAAGTTGGTTTGTGATCCTCCAATAAACACGGCAAGATCAGCAGACTCACTAGAGAGCCAAACAGTCTCTGGTGTGGATGTTTTTATACAGTTTCAAAAGAAAATGCAACATGCAATTATTTAGAGTACGAGAAGTGGCATTACTGTTCTTTTGTTAGTTCGATTTTGTTAG